CCATAAGTTAGAGAACTTGGTTTTCCACGGGATTTTATGTAATATATTCTACTATCATGTTTAGCATGTAAAAAACGTGGTAACGGAGTAAAAACACCCCATTTTGCAGAGTGGGTTTTATTTGATTATGCAAAGAGATCTTACAATTGCACAATTAGACTAAATTGAATTTTTTGCCACAAAGCGATTTATGTGGTCGTCTTTTCCTCGGCAGCAGCTTGAGCCACAGTCATATTTGGATTTGGTTTCGAGGTGTCGAAGGTGAATACCAAGCAGGGTTCTGAGTCTGGGACCACCTTGTAGGCTTTGTGCCATATGGTGGTGCAAAAGTCGGCGGCGGAGCTGTAGATCTTTTTGTATTTCCTACACACCGAGCCCTCTTTGCAGCTGTTAGTTTCTAGAAAATATCCACACAATTCAATATTGTTTAGCATGATTTCTGGCGCATGTGGCTACCTGAAGGATAGTGCCTCACTTAAGTTAATTGATGTGCTCGGATCGCTGTTTTTGTAGCAAACGTCACTTTATTATTTTGTTAAATGCAGTAGAATATACGTTGAAAGGATATACATAGTTTACAAAAGTGCCATCTGAATCTAAAATGGGCTAGGTCATAAAAAATTACAACAGTCTGTCATAATGATTTTATTTATGCATGGTTATTTAAAGAATTAATCTAAAAGAAAAGTAATATAGACTCTCAGCATGAGTGAAGTATCTTCAATCATATTAATTCAGGTGATACGAAAATAGTTCAAACTGAACACAGACTACTGTACCTGTAAGCTGTAACTAGTGACCATTGCAGAATACCAAATAAATTCCATTGGAATAGCATATAGCTTTTGTTACCTAATTGGCGCTCAATTAAGAACATAGGAAGAAAAAGTTTGCTAAAAGAATGTATCAAAACAGGAGAATAAATAGAAATGATCTACTCAGAACCAAAATTTTCATCAAGTTGTCGCCATTTTTACCAATCCTTATCACTGTAAAGATGGCGCCACTCACCGCTCCAGACCATATCAGCGATCCAGTCCCTGTGACAAGTGTATTCCTCTTTACAGGCATTCCACCATTCTTCACACTGGCTGGCACAAAGCGGTGCCTGATCAAGGCGGTCGAAATCCGGATGTGCATGCTGTTACGAAATAAGCGTGAAAGACGAAAAACGAGCGACACACACTTACAGAGAGAGAGTATGACAGACAGATTGCTTTTTTAGGTATCTTACTCATGACATCTCTCTTCGTTACTTCTATCATCTTCCCCCATCCTTTATATGCACAAAATTCACCTTAGCAACTGCATAATAAATGACAGGAATTATATTTATACGGAAAAATGCATGTCAGCTCAAACATGTGTTACTCAACTCGGCTAATTGCAAAATACCTATTCTTTGCATCCCGGCATACAAACTCACTTCCCCTCCCCCCCCACCCCACCACACACACACACACACACACAGAGAGAGAGAGAGAGAGAGAGAGAG